ATCAGGCCTCTGAGACGCCATGTTACTAAATTTAAATATGGTGTAACCTGCTATATGAACAAATATGTTGTACAGTATGTTTATGTTGTGTGGTGTTTAGTATGTCGCTTAACAAATACTTGTTTAACCCTGAATTATTACTCTTTTCACTAAAGCTGTGCCAGAGAACAAAAAAACATTGGTACCTCCAATTATACCAACTGCATGGGTAACCTCTTGGCATAATAATTTATAAGTGGGGTGGGGTGGGGTTATGATTATTTCATTTACTTATTCATTCGCTCAGTCATTTCTCATATTTGCTAGTTTTGTAACAAAACTTCCAAATACCAATGCTTATCAGTTTCGCAAAGAACCTTTTAACCAAATGCCTCCAGTGACCTTACATGTTGGTCAATTTGGTTAGCAAATAAAATGGCTGTTTCACTCAAATTGAGTACTGCAGCCCAGTGTGCAGAGAGCAGAGGAGTTATACACAGTTTCCTCCAACATACTGTAAGTGTCATTTCATCCAGCATAGCACAAGCCCCTATTGCAGAGTCAGCTTAGCCTGAAGTAGTGGAGTCACACTAGATAGAAGATAACTGCTATCTATGTTTCCTTTGTTGCAGGAAATAGCGTGTTTTATTAAACATTTTGAAAGACTCGTCTCAAAAGGAACCCGAAAGGATAGGAATATCACATTTCTGATCAGCAGATATTTTTATACCACATTCAAAGCTGAGGCTGCCCAAGAAGCAAACTGCAGAATGCATGTGATGTGGCCAAGGTGGCGCTTGGTACATTAACTTCCTAATTTCGACCTACTGCTAATGAAATAAACACGAAGATGAACGCACACCGATAAAACAGCTTGAAAAAAAAAACAAGAAGTTTCCATCACTTTAGAATCTGCAACCCCTTCTCTAATAACTTAAATTTGGTTATTTAAATTAGATTTACTGGTGACTCCATAAAAACACATTTTTTTAAACTTTTACTTAATGCTTTGAAAATGTATGTCTAAATTTATCTTACAGAACCACACATTAAAGACAATCACCATCAGCCATCTCAGAGAGAGCCTCGGGGGTGGTCTTTAACAAAACCCAGTATGTCAGTTGGTTTTTTTACATAAAAGCAATTCTAAGAAACCCTTTTCTGATGAAAAAAGGATGGGATCTCAACATATCTTTCTGATAAACCCACTGCATTGTATGCACTAAAATACACATATTTAATTTAGAGGCATGCAAGCATTAGGTTTAAGAGTAAAGTGGCAGTAATGCATGCTTAAACAAATTAATCTAAAAAAAATGCCTTCTATATAATTATTTTCATTGAATTTCATGCATTTGAAATAGTCCTTAAATTTACTTAAATGCATTCTTTTGGCATGTACAATCTGACTAAAACAAAACAGCAGAATAAAATGAACAGCAAAATAAACAGAAAACATAGAGCAATGTTTAAAACATTCCAGTTTGAATTAACTCATCAACGTCAAAACTTTCCTGCTTCATTGCAACAGTTGAACAAAGTCCACCACTCCTGTGGTCATTACAAACCTGTGTTGTAGGGATGAGATAACAGGCTACTCTCAAGTATAAATTAAAGTAAGGATTAAGATTGACAAAAAGGATAGGAAGAGTTAGGGAGCCTGTAGTTCATTCTAACATGGTTTGGGAAATCACTTTGTTTCCATCTGTAGTTCAACAAATCAATGGGAACTTCATAAAATTTGTAAAAAACAACAGGATTGTTTTTTACAAAAGTAAACACCATAATGTACTGCGATCACATGTAGAAAAGGATTTTAGAAAGGCAGAGAGACAGAGAGATAGAAAGGAATATTGCACTGGAGGCAAAAAGAAATAACTGTTCTGGATATCCAGGTTTAATAACAATTACGTCCATTTGCAATATCACCAGCTCCACAGCACCTGATAAGAGAGGCAGCACTGATTGGAGCACTAAGTCGCTCAGTGATGTCACTGCAAGCTTCTTAGCCTGCTGAGGTCACAGGTCTCCACAAAATCCACCAGTCAGGAGTCTAACTCTCAATGGGTCCCAGCCAATCACATGTTGTCTCTTGGGTCATTCTGCAGTCTGCAGACTGAAATGTATATTGCTAAACAGTGCTTATATACTCCATCTATGTGTACAACAAATAGCTTTTCCCAAATAGTTTCTCTATACTTCATCATTTGTCATTTTGAACTAATCAAATGAGGTTCCAAACCTTCCCCCATCTAGTAATGCAAAACCTCTGTTAAGCTGTGGATCACCAATTCTGGGGCCAGGTTTACCATGAATGTGCATAATTCATAGAATTCAGAAAAACAAGAAATCCCCTAGTGAGATACACTATCCATTTACATTTGGCAACCACTCAAAAGAGTCTGCTTATTGGCTATTTCCTATTTCTAGACCATTGTTCACAATGTGAATTCCCCTTGGAATGATGAAGCTTTCAAGAGCCTTCAATGTCACTGTATCTCATTTTACTGCTTCCCTTTACTGACTTATTCTTGGTCTCAGCTTCTCTTTCTGTCTCTGTTAGTCCTCCCACCCCCCTCTGTGCTTCTCTGCAATTGCAGCCTAGATACCGCTCGAAAACAGGAAAAAAAAACATATGAACAGTTCTATATATATGAGGGTTACTTAACGTAAAAGTTTGGCCCAACTAGCCAATGGCCTAGTTGTGAGCCGGCTAAGTAAAGCACAGTTAGCTGTGCGAAAATTAAAATATCAAACAGTTTTAAAAACAGCAACAGTAACAGGCTTACGTGAAAGATGAAAATGCTAAAGTGATTTACAGGAGCTTCAAAGCTGCCAGAAAGTAGAAAGGTTTTTGATATAAAATAAAAATTGGTGAGATCACATGAGCACGTATGTGTTTCTTGAAAAGAGCCCAGAGAATCAACCTCACCTGATCCTTTGTGTTTTTGGCTTGGTACTGTAGTTAGGTTTTTGCCTTAACTGTATGGGCTCCATTGATCAACATGGTTATACTGTAGTTTTTTAAGTACTGTAGTAATAAATTAAGAGGTGATGTATTAATTTAAACACGAACACGTTCACGTTAAACACGAATGCATAACGTTTTAAAAGTTACTTTACAAAAAACGCATGGTCTCCTCTATCGGAGAAGTCTCTTTCACCCCTGGTCCTGGAAAGCTGACAGCCAACATGCGGTTGTATTCATTTCCAACCAATCTGAGTGGAAATGAGAACACGGAAAAGGGGGTATTTTCATGCCGAAGGAGACAAGGAAGCGAAACACCGGGCAGGCCTGCGTTGAAGTGAAGTCCACATGCAATAAACAAGCCCAGAAGTTTCCACTCTGCGTCTCAAAGGTCTTTTACAACAGTCACGAAAGATGCGCTGTTTGATTCTTTGCTGGCTGCTTTTATCCGTGGATGGAGAACTCCTCCTTGAAGTCAAAACAGGCCATCGTTTAAGTACTAGAGCCCTTCACTTCAAATAGACGCTGAAAAAATAAGGTTGCTCAAAACAAAATAGAAAAGCAACGGGCGTAGAGTCAACTGCTACTGCTCAATACGTACTGTACAAAGCGAATAACCTCGTCCTTACGACGCTTTTGGTTTGTGTTGTAATATCGTACTACAAGTAAAAGGGAAAAAAATGCCTTGTCCCATAAGTCAACGTCTACTCTCTCTTATTTTGTGTTGTCCAGGGACGTCCATAGTCAGACAGCTACATGGCTCACCTTGCAGAAAAACCGACCGGCGCAGGTGGTTGAAAATAGTTTCGAAACTGAAAAAGCCCGTGAAAACATCAAATAGAACAAATTATGGTTAAAATTAACGAAGCATTCAGTTAAGTAACAGATTTCGAACAAAGTTTTTCAGAACCTTAAGGTGGTGAGGTGTGGGAGGAATAATTGTGGATCAATTTTAATAGCAACTAGTGATTCTAAACATGAGAATAGAAATGTGGTAAAGGACTACATTCATGTGAAAGTTGCTTGTGCTTTTCATCACACCTAAATAAAGCACAACAACTTAGCGTGGCTTTTTATAATAGTGTACTTATTACCTTCACATATTTGGTGTAGTTATGTTGTACTGTACATAACTCCTACAGTGTATTTTAAACAAAGCAGTCGTTTAATTAGAAACACTGAGAAAACGAGCATGCCGGAGATCTTCAATCATATCGAAACATTGCTTTACTGTTTGTAATACTACTCCAAACAGCAACGATGATGATGATCATGTAAAATACCAAGTATACCCAATATTTTTTGGGGGGTGAAAAAGTACAGTACTGTATCTATGACGAAAACCTGATTGCATCTTGAAGTTAGCTAAGTGGAACAAGTTGTGTTTTTTAAGTAATAATGATCGTATCTGTTATCAGTCTTAAGGGTGGAGCTGCATTAGTGTGTGAGCTACAGTAGCCAAAAAACAGCATTCCTCTGATCAAAACTACTCATGTTATCATTCCAGTAACCCAGAACTCTGATTATGTATTTTTAGATATGTATCACCCCATTAGTATTTACTGTATATATCTTATATATATATTTAATAATAATAAAAATCAATAGTTCAGTGCAGCACAGTGGCAAAGTGGTTAGCAGTGCTGTCTCACAACGCTCGGGTACTGAGTTCAATGCTGGACCTAGGGTGCTATCTGTGTGGAGTCAGTATGTTCTCCTCATGTTTGTGTGCGTGTCCTCTAGGTACTTAGGTAACCTACTGGTAATAGGTTAGACATACTGGTAGGTTAATTGGCCCTGCTGTGAATGTGTGTGTCTGTTTGTGCCCTGTGATGGCTGATGGACTGGCGTCCCATCCAGGGTGTACCCTGCCTTGTTTGCTGGGATAGGATCCAACTTCCCCGTGACCCTGTACTGAATAAAGGGATTGAAAGAGTGGATAAATGGTTCAACATTACTCTAATTTATATATACTGTATACTGTATATGTATTTTATCCAAGGAAAATGACTGTATTAAACATATGCTTTACATAAGTGGGACATTGTTAGCAGGGAGTAGTTTCACAGCTGCTTTAAATTATCCTTATTATCCTTCATGATCTGACATTATAACAGCCAACCTCTGGCAAGCATGCAAGACTCCCCACCCAGCTATCACAGTGCAGAGGTGGCTGGGATTACTGACGTGTCTCCAAAGCAGGCTTTACATTGAAGAGCAAGGAGAAGTTGCACTCAGCAGGATGTGGCATTCAGTTCAGTTCTGTGGAAACTCGGAGCTGAGCTGGTGACGAAACAGAAACAGCCCCAAATGTGGAAGAGGGAAACCAAGAAGGACTGACAATCTCATGCGTAAAGAAACACTGAGGAATGGTATGGAGATGATTTCACTGCTGCCATTTGGGAGATGCAAAAGCTGCTTAACAAGTGTGTGAAAACCTGCCAACCCACACAGAACCGAGAGGCTGTCTCTGCCCTGTCGTTTACGTGCAACCAGACCAACAGGCGCAGACCCCAAGCCACAGCCCTGCACCCCCCGCGCTGCAGACACGCAGACTCACCGAGACAGAGCATCGACATGCTGCCTGCCGCAGCACAGCTCACAAAGGAAAGAGTTACAAATAAATATCAGTCAGGAAACAAGTTAGTGGAGAGTATTAAATAAACTAGTTTTACAGAATTTTAAGAAGAAAAGGGAACTTAACAATGCTGTACATGACTCACAAACACAGTGAAATCTAACTGGATGTCTCAATAGAGCCGGGCAGAAAGGAAGCGGACACTTTTTTTTTCCAAGATAAAACTCAAAGATTTAAGCGAGAGAAAAACGGATCTCTGGATTTTGAGTTTTCCAGCGATCTCAAACATCAAATTAAAATGCATGGACGGCACACATTCTATCCTTTTACTCTGCCCTTACAAGTTTGCACACTCTTGTATGGTAAGTACAGTAGCTTGAATTCTCTGCTTACACTGGTATTGTGTATGTCAGGCAACGACAGGGATTTCTGACATACAGTAGCTTCAAGCAAAATACCATTTTCAACATGCTTGCTTACTCATTAAAAATCAGTAAGATGGAAGAGGAGCAATGCCAGAAAACAGTATATGCATGTCCTCCTGAAGTTAATATTCACATTAAATTATTAGTAATTTACACAGTGGACATGTGTGGAACATACAGATAATTATTTTTTTTATCTTGTTGGTTTTCTCATTTTCCATACATCATTTAACTTGATGTATTTAAACAATTAAAGCTTTTGGATGTCATGTCAATTCATTTCCCTATAAAAATAGAATATGCATTATTATTGCATTGTACAAGATTAATAATAAAATCATTCAAGAGAGGTAATCCATATTCATATATAATTTACTACAGTACAGTGAATGGGAAATAGCAGCATTAATTTTTTTAATTCATTGTAATACTTTATGTTGTTCATGATGCATTCGTTTATTAAGATTTGTAATTGAGTAATACAATAATAATGAGTAATAATAATTCATTATGGTGAAGTATGAAATGAAAATATATATTAGAGAGCTTCAGGGACTGAATAAATAATATTTTACTAAATACTAAGCAATAGTGTGTCTTCCTTGAAATTTTGTAAACTTGGTCATTTTCAGATAAATATGTAAATGTAGTGTTCTTTGTACAGATCTATACATTCGAGAAACTTCAACCGCAATAAAAATATTTTAAAACATGCAAGGGAATAGTTGCGATTATTCATCAACAGCATGCTACAGTATGTCCAATAATTTGTTTTGATCATGTCAACGAATCTTTGTCCTTTGTACTCAATGATTCAACTTTTATTCCTCTCCTCCCATTTCATTGTTTTTTTTTGCATTTCATGTTTCCTGTTGTATGACCTGATGCTTTTATTTCTCTCCTTATATTTGCTTCATCTCGTCTGTGCAAGAGAAAACTCATATAGTACCTTCTAAATGAAAGCTGCTGAACGCGTCCTTTCTAGAGGACTGCTATTAAATTGTTTCTAAAATAAGGAGTGGAGTGGATACTTAATCCTGCTCATTTCACTTTATGGATAAATGGTGCAGTGAAGCCATTAAGGACAGCAGGATCACAAGACATTATTAAAACACACCATGGTGCAGTGCTGGGGCCCTGGGTTCGCCTGTAGTGTTGTCTGTATGGAGCTTTTATGTTCTCCTACGTTTGCATGGGTTTCCACCAGGTGTTCCAATTTCTCCCCATAGTCCAAAGACATACTGGTAGGTTAATTGGCCTCTGGAGGAGTCTGTACCCTGCCAAGTGGACTGGCCTCCCATCCAGGGTATACCTTCCTTGTGCCTGTTGCTTGCTGGGATAGGCTCCGGCTCCTCCGCAACCTAAAATGAATAGAAGCGGCTAGAAAATGGATGTGTGGAATATTAAACCAAGCACATAAGATAACATGAACAAAAACAGCTGCTGAAACAGCAGTTTTGTTTGTTTACTTATAAATGTATATATTTATAAAGTAAGAAAACATCATGGTTAAAAACAGTCATCCTAGTCAGTATTAAGAAATGACACCCTGGTAAAACTGTCAGTATTGTATTGTTCCACCTTATGATGCCATAGAAATACTTGTGGTTGTGGTGTAATGCCTTCGATCGACCATAGAAAGAATGGCATTGGAGGTACTGTACATCATTTTGTCACTAGTACATAACAGAGGTTTTACAAGTTTATTTGTAGCCAAATGTTCACTATCAGTAATGGCAAAATCAAACATGTACAGTAAAAGAGCTTTGTTGATTTAATATGGATGTTGTTACAAAGTTATGGTATTAAAAATGGTAAAATATGAATCATCAATCAAGTATCAAAAATAGGATCCTGAAACCAGTTTGCAATGCAACCAACTTTACAAAAATTTACAATAATTTTAGCCATCAAGTCAGGTTATATGGTATTTGTCTTCTCGGCTTTTCCAGCACAGCTAAGTAACACAGTAATGCTTAGGAGGCAAAGTGAGCTAAGACAAACAAACATATATTACAATAAATTATGCAAATGCATAACACACTGTTTTACAGATTTTAAGGAGTACGGATATTTAAAGATCTGTGAATATTACAATCCTGATTCTATACATAGAGAAAACATTGTATTTACCTATAAGACACAAAAAGGATGAGATGTAACCTATGTCCTATCAAATGAGAATGTGTCCAAGCATTAAATGCATTAAACGTCTTAAATAGATGTTGAATGAATGGAACACTATTTCCCATTCCATACTAATACACAGCTAGATAAACAGATGTACTCTATCCTTTGGATTCCACAAATAGGAATTCAGTATCGTCAACATTATAGACTAACAAATCCCCATCTTTAGATCTGTATTACAGTACTGATGAAGTTTAGGCAGATTCTGCTCTCTTAATCTGTTGCAAGAGGATTTCCTCTTATGGTCCAGCTGCTTTGCTCTCTAGTCTCTTACTCTGTATTTCTTGTTTGCTTTTGATCCTGTTTTGAGGCATAGTTTATCTATGTCCAATCCCAGTGAAGACTAGCTAAAATGATGTTACAAGTCTGACTTAATGACTTTGAATGAGAATTGATGTAATTTGAGTTAAATGTCAACAAAATGTTTAATCATCTGGATCTTTGGCCATTGTGACTGTTTCAGCTGAGCTGTTCAGATAGAGGACAGTTGTTCTAAAAAAATGCCCATTATTTTAGCTTGCAGTATAAGTTACTCTGCTAGGAAATTTAAACATTAGAATGGGCTTGACATGCAATAATATTTAAAAGCTCTTTGTGCAGACTATTACAAAAAGATGCAAAGGTTAGCTGTCCAATCAATTTGCCAGGCAAAAGCAGGTGTGGCAGCTCGGTAAATGGGTGAAATCAAGATATCTCCCAGTTCACACAGTTACGTATTTAATGCAAAATAGTCTGTTTTATCAGTTATTCCATGCAGAATTGTTACAGCATGTTTTTTACATTTTTGTTAGGTTTCGTCACATATATAAGACCATCATATTTAACGTAGCCAGCACAGACAATGTTAAGCCTGTAAAGCGCTTTGAGTCCAGAAAAGCGCTATATAAATGTAAGCAATTATTAATTATTTTTATTATTATTATTATAATTATTATTATAAGTATTAAGTCTCACAACTTGTAGTTAAATGTCTGCATTGACCTGATTTTTCAACAAGCTGTGATATTTTTTCCCACTTCAGAGTCCTCAAATTTAGCAAAGCCTTCTAAACTCTGCCTAAGTAAGTGGATTACCAGAGATGTACAGTAGACAAGGTTCCAATATGTTCCTGTCAGTTTTGATACAACAATCTTGTAGGTGTTGTTTTTTTACTTGTGTAGGGATCTGCATGAGTTGACAGACTGTATAATGGCATACGTTCAGTTCTGTGAAAGCACTGTCATTATTTCTAAAACTGTCAAAATATTTGGCTGTAACAAACCTTGGGTGTTGAAGGATTTAATTTAAGAATTTAAATGTGTTTGAATGAGCAAAACGTCACTTTTAAATGGGGGAAATTGCTGTTGTTAGAGAGAAATACAAGGCGTTCAGGTCAAAAATGAGGAAGCCTTAAAAAGATTTTGAAGACAGAAGAAGTTAAGAACAGGTTATGTGTAGGCAGTCCTAAGCAAGCATTGAAAAAGGCTTACTGTAATGATGGGTGGAGGTGGAAAAATTTAGAATGGGAATTGTGCTGTTTGTTCAACTTTTGTGAATGATATTAATTATTTTTCTGGAAGGTTTGACATTGTGGATTTTAGAGATAAATGTAATGAGATACAGTAATTGAGCTGATTCCCATAAGTTCTTCTATATAGCCGACTGAGACAGAGGTTGTTAAGTGTCTCTCCCAGATCAAGCCACATAAGGTCCAGATGGTTTGTGAGGAAAGGTTCTGAAGGTGTGTGCCAAACAACTTAGGGGAGTTCAAACTCAGTTATTAGGCACTACTTGAGTCTTGTATTGATCTAAATTCAGTATGTGGAAAGTTTTAACAATTTTACCTATACTTTAAAAAACTCAAGGCCAAAGCACTAAGTGACTTTTGCCCGGTGGCATTATCCCTTCTATTGGCTAAGTACATGGAGAGAGTTATTTATAGACACCTTACCCTTTCGATTGCAGATCATCTGGATCCTTTGCATTTTACTTATAAAAATAGTATTTGCATACTATTGGAACAGCTGTTGCATTTGGAAGCTAATGGGAAACTTATAAAACAGATTAAGGATTTTCTAACAGATTGCCCACAGCAGTTTGTTATGAACAAAACATTTTCAAATTAAAATGTTTTAAATATTGCTCCTGCCTAGGGCATGCAGGGAAATTCTGTAAATATGGCACGAAGATGTTATGGCCCTAATAGGATTGCTTACTAGGAATGATGGGAAAAGGTTGGAGGTTTACTTTGCAAAGATAAGTAAACTGGAAAGGTGGTGTCAGTCAAGCATGCTTCACATTCATGTTGATGATACTTGATATAGTACTACATTAGATTTCCAACATCTCCCCCTTGTTTAGCAGCCTGATGAGGTTGTTCTAATACCCAGGAACAGTAATAGATGAACATTTAAACTTTGCAGAGATACAAATTGTATTTTTAAGAAGGCTAGTCAGTGTAAATGTGTTTGGTGAGTCAAAGTATTTTAGAGAGGATTTATAGAATGTTAGTGGAAAGCATCCTTACTTTTGGTATCACAGTGTAGTATGGTAGACTACGTATTAAGAGTAAAGGGAATTTGTCCAGAACTGTTAATATTGTCAGTAAAATAATTGATTGACCCCATCCCATAAATAACTTGAAGAGCTGTATTAATGAAAGAAAGTTCAGAAGAAAAGCTCAGCGTATCTTTGATGACCCCTTCCATCCACTTCATTCCCATTTCCAGCTGTTACGGTACCTTCAAGGAGGGCCAAGATAGATGTACAGTATACAAGACTCTGTATACTCTGTTCCCTGTGCAGTCAGTATATTAAATACAGCAAAGTGATTGGTTCCTGTGTGAATCAGATTAGTGTAATATGGATAGAGTGAGAATTGTGTATGTGTATTGTGCGTGGCTTAATAAAGTTATATACTGTATGTATAGTATAAGTTCTGTTTTTTCTTACTTTTTTAAGTGAGCTTTTTAACCTGTGACTCTAGAATGGAAAGTTGAATCTTCATAAGATTATGATCGCACCAAGCACGATGACTGATTAAGATAAACTATATTGTATATATTGTAATATTTGATATCCCTTATGATGAATTTGTTTCTATCTGTAGATGCACATTTGTAAGCATTTCAGTATTATATCATTTTCAAAATGATATTTTGAAATAGGCAAAATATTTCAGCAGACCCAAAGATGTGTAAATACATCACAGAAAATATGCATTGATAAAGATCAAGAAGGGCCTCTCAGGATCTCAGGGAAAGCACTGCAGGATTTACAGTTAAAATCCAAGATTTTAGGCAACATTATATTATTGTACTGTATTATTGTATTGACTTGGCATTGTATTCATTATAACACTATTACACTCATTATTACATTGTAGTTGTTATTAACTTATTATTGTTATAATATTATAATGCTTTCATTTAAAACATCATATAATATCAATGAGACCTATGTGTACTGTTAAAATTCAACAGTATTTTAGATCCCCTGAATCTCCCTTATTGTAAGCTTTGATCAATTTAATCTTAATTGAAATTATTCCTAGCCATGCACAATACACATACACAATTCTCACTCTGTCCATATTACACCAGAAGCCATATCACACTGCATCTCACAGCTGGCAGCCTCACTGAAACTTAGTTGGTGTGAGCCTGGTCAGTACCTGGATGGGAGACTAGCTAAAGCTAAGGCTGCTGCTGGAAGGGGTGTTAGTGGAGCCAGTAGGGGGCGCTCTCCCTGCAGTCTATGTGGGTCTTAATGACCCATTATGGTGATGGGGACACTAAACTGTAAAAAGGCTCTGTCCTTCGGAGGAGACATAAAACAGAGATCCTGACTCCCTGTTTGCATTTCTCTAAAAGAGTAGGGGTGTAACCCCATCATCCTGCCCAAATTTCCCATTGGTCCTTATCAATGAGGGGCTCCTAATAATACCCATCTCTGAACTGGCTTCATCACTCTGCTCTCCTCCCCACTGGAAACCCATGTGAACACTAGAAGAACACGCAAACTCCACACAGACAACACCCCAGCTCCAGAATTGAACCCAGGGTGCTAGTGCTGTGATGAAACAATGCTAACCACTGCATCACTCTTGCTCCTTCAACTTACACAGTATGTGGTATTATAAAAAATAAGCGTTATTCACAGTTTGAGTCTCAGCTTTGGTTTAGAACACAGGTTGTTTATTTCTTAAATACTCCAACACAAATTACTGTTTTTGTTTCTTCCAGTGTGTCAGGTGTCTATCAGTGGCGCCTCTCCATTGGTGCTGAACGGCACTCTGGGACAGTCAGTTACTCTGCTCTCTGGGTTTGATGAGAAAAACTACAGCAGCAGTAATATAACACTACTGTTTTGGAAAATGAACACAACTGTTATCATGCAGTTCCTAAATAAAAACTGGTCTGCTCTTAAGAGTGATCACTTCAAAGACAGACTCACTGTAAACACAAGGGATGGCTCTTTAACAATCTCTCAACTAAAAGGAGGAGACGAAGGAGAGTATGTACTCAGTGGCTTCGGATCTGCAGGGAACCTGCCTCAACAAAGGATAACCCTTCATGTTCTTGGTAAGAAATTGCCTATTGTAATGACCGGAGGGTTCGCGCAGAATGAGCATATGTTTTTAGATGCACAGACACCACTTAATTTCAAACATAAGATGCATGAGAAGATTAATTCAAGTAAGTGATTTCCAGACTGGAGGGCACAACACCTGGTGTTTTTGAGGCGCTTCCAGGAAGTTACAGTATGAGAAGCATGAAGTCATGAGAAAATAATCGATTGACATAGATGTTAAATTTAGCTGAACAGAAATATTTCAACATTTTTTTAGCCTCTTTTATTTAATCTTGTTCATTAGCGTTTATCATGATATCCATGATATTTGCCAATATTCAGTATTTGTTGGCATTAGCCTTCACCAAAGGAAGAGCACCATTCAGCATTTCTGCATGTCTTTTAAGGAATAAAGAAGATTTCTTTTCAGCCAATACAATGCATTACCACCCCTACAGTGAAGTATTATGTTATGGGCCTACTTCAGCAAATACTGGGAAATGTATCACGATTTGGGGGAAAACATACAGTGGGTAATATAGACCAATCTTAGAGGAAAACCTGCTTCAGTCTGCTAAAGATCTAAAGCTACAGTGATCTGAAAAACAAAGTACACCCTCTTGAGATTCTATGGTCTCACATAATAAGACATTTCAGACCTTCATCTAGTCCTTGCCAGATCCTAACAGCAGATAAATCTAACCTCACGTGATAAATAACACACAAATTATACTTTGTCATTATTTGTTAAACAAAAAGTCAGCCAAAATTCAGTAGCCTTGTGTGAAAAAGTAACATGATTCAGTAATGTGTGGAACTCTTCTCAGCAGTTTCCTGTAAGAGTTTATCAGGCCCACTCCTTCTTACAAAACTGCTTCAGCTTGGTGATGCTTAAGAGCATTCATTTACAGATGCAGCCATTCAAAGTGCGGTACAGACACGTACCGCAGGTAATTGGCTGCGGTGTCGCGTATCATGACGCAAGATGACGCTGGGTACCGCGGTACGTGATTGGTTGACCGACAGGGGCACTCGTGGTCCGTTGGTCTGTCGTATAAAGACTTACTGTAAACGTCTTTACTGTGCCCGTTGTAGATATTGAATTT